TCCACCAGTAAAAGAAGGCCTGTGTTACTTCCATCGGAAAGAAAACATTCTTAGACCTTCAGGTGCGAACATAACACATAAGTCTTACCTCCGGGGCTCACACTAAGAGCTGACCAGCTCTCCTCACAGAAGCCCTCCTCCTGGGGGGGGGGGGGGGCAGGCAGCGCGGCAGCTGAGGGTGCAGCCTCGGCCCGGGGCCAAAATCCCAGCTCTAGCACTGCCCAGTGCCGTGACCTTGAGCTAGTCCTTGAAGGTCTCTGTAGACTGCGGGTAAGGGTGGTATCCAGTTCACGGGGGTGCTGGGAAGATTTATCAAGGTAATGGGGCCGGGGGTTGGCGGAGGGCAGCACTCGGCCATAGGAAGCAGCAGCCCTCGCTAAGAGTGGGCTATGTGATCAGGGGGCCTCTGTGACCTCAGCACAGGCGGTCCCCAAACCGGTGAGACGCAGCGCCCAGGCAAAGGCTAGAAGTGGAAAAGAACAGGAAGCCCGAGGCAGCACACGGGGTAGGCTGGGCCAGGCGAAGCTGTCCCACAGCTTTTAGGGCCGGCTGTGCTTTGCGGGTCAGACTCTTTCCTAAACCTCACGATCAAAGACAACGCGAACCCAGGATAGCACTGCCTGCCCATTTGTCTTGCAGGCCCTCCTGCGGGACTCTCCTCCCAAAGGTGCTTTTCGAGGCACCACCCGCTGTGGGCTTTGAGTCAGCTAACACAGCTATGGAAGCCCGTGGTGCCGGGGCTTTTAAAATAAGTTACTCTTGGCGTCCCTAGGAAATACTTAAGTCTGTCCAAAGATCAAGCAATTGAACGGTGAGGTGATAAATAACCTTTGCCTCTCCATTTTTCCATTACCGATCTTGGGCCTGTCATTTTTCCCCCTTCTCTCGTTTCAAAATACACTCTTTTGAACACACCCTGTGTTTATCGCCTGTCTCCATATATTTTTAGTTAATGTTTCATGAGAATATCTAGTGGTGGATTTCGTGTTTCCCACTGCAGGTCTCAATCCTCACACTTGAGACCACAGTAAAGAGAAACATAAGAGGGGCGCCCGAGTGGCTCAGTCATTTGAGCCTCTGACTTTGGCTCAGGTCATGATCTCATGGTCTGTGAGTTCAAGCCCCACATCAGGCTCTGTGCTGTCATCTCAGAGCCTGGAGCCTGCTTGGGATTTTGTGTCTCCCACTCTCTCTGCCCCTCGCCCCCCATTCATGCTATGTCTCTCTCTGTCTCAAAAATGAATAAACGTTGAAAAAAAAAGTTTAGGGGCGCCTGGGTGGCTCAGTCGGTTAAGCGTCCGACTTTGACTCAGGTCATGATCTCACGGTTCGTGGGTTCGAGCCCTGCGTCGGGCTCTGTGCTGACTGCCAGCTCAGAGCCTGGAGCCTGTTTCAGTCTGTGACTCCCTCTCTCTCTGACCCTCCCCTGCTCACGCTGTCTCTCTCTCTCTCCTAGAAATAAATAAAACATTTAAAAAAAAAAGTTTAGGGGCGCCTGGGTGGCTCAGTCGGTTAAGCGTCCGACTTTGGCTCAGGTCATGATCTCATGGTCTGTGAGTTCAAGCCCCACATCAGGCTCTGTGCTGTCATCTCAGAGCCTGGAGCCTGCTTGGGATTTTGTGTCTCCCACTCTCTCTGCCCCTCGCCCCCCATTCATGCTATGTCTCTCTCTGTCTCAAAAATGAATAAACGTTGAAAAAAAAAGTTTAGGGGCGCCTGGGTGGCTCAGTCGGTTAAGCGTCCGACTTAGACTCAGGTCATGATCTCACGGTTCGTGGGTTCGAGCCCTGCGTCGGGCTCTGTGCTGACAGCTAGCTCGGAGCCTGGAGCCTGTTTCAATTCTGTGTCTCCCTCTGTCTCTGATCCTCCCCTGCTCCCACTGTCTCCCTCTCTCTCTCAGAAATAAATAAGACATTAAAAAAATTTTTTTTAAAGAAAAAAAAAGAGGGAGAGAAACATAGGAGACAGGAGATGGGCCTAGCAGAGGTAAGCAAGTGAAAATTTCAGACCCATGAATTGTGTTTTAAGTTCTGTTAGTGTTTACTACAAGCACAAGCTCTGACAACAAACAGCATTGGGCCTCATTAATTTTTTTTAAGATTTGTTTTTAAGTAATCTCCACACCCAACATGTGGCTCAAACTCATAACCCTGAGATCAAGAATTGCATGCTCTATCAACTGAGCCAGCCAAGCGCCCCAGCACTGGGCCTCTGTTAATCAGAGGTCCTCGCTTGAAACTATAGACGTGTAGCCTGAAAGACTGTTAGCCAAAACTGTTCCAAATGTTTCTCTTGGGGTTAATTTCATACACACACACACACACGCACACGCACACACACACTCCATATATACAATATATGCCATGTATTATACATAACATATATCTGTCACATGATATGCAGTTATTAAAACTATATACTTATATATCATATAGTTATTAAAGTAATTTTTTTGATATAGACTCAAGAAATGTAACAACCGCCATGTTGATTTTTGCTCACAGGTGGTAATTTAAGAGAATAGATGCTATTTCCACATTTGGAGAGATTTGAATTTGGCCTGTGATAATGGCATTGCAGTTGTGTAGAAGAATGTCCTTGTCCTTCTGAGACAAGATTGCTGGAGTATTTAGAGGGGAAATTGGTCAGCAACTGATTCTCAAATGAATCTGGGCAAAAAGTAGGTTGGTGTTCACTGACCATTCTTGCAACTTTTCTGTAGCTTTGAAATTTTTTTAAAGGTGTCGGAAGAAAAAGATTTTTTTTTTTTTTTTGCTGTGGTTGTTCAACAAAAGCTGACTTCCTCCCAAGGAAAACAGAGCATGGGGCGCCTGGGTGGCTTAGTCGGTGAAGCGTCCGACTTTCGCTTAGGTCATGATCTCTCGGTTCGCGGGTTCGAGCCCCGCGTCGGGCTCTGTGCTGACTGCCAGCTCGGAGCCTGGAGCCTACTTCAGAGTCTGTATCTCCCTCTCTCTCTGACCCTCCCCTGCTCACGCTGTCTCTCTCTCTCTCTCTCTCCTAGAAATAAATAAAAATATTAAAAAAAAAAAAAGGAAAACAAAACGTAAGCATAAAAACACCAGAAATGCTCTAAAATCTTCATTAAAATGCATTGCCAAAATCAGAATTTTTTGCATAAAATCTTACAACAACCAAAACCAAAATGCTTATCTTTACTCCAAGAAGTGAGTTCGTATATAGTCAATACCGGTGAGTACCAAAGTCAAAGAATCTGTTAAAAAAAGCAAGAATAACATATACAAAGACAGTGAAGGCACAGGGAATGATAAATGCTCCGGACTGGTGGCAAATTTTTTTAAGAAACTGTAAGATTTTACATTTGTTCTACAAGGTAAATAAGGCCCTAGAAGTTTAGAACTGAAAAGTGTCAAAGAAAAATACAGTCCAATAGCTCAATGCTCAATTTATACATGATATAATGAAGGGTCAGAGAAAATGATACAAGTGTAGAAGCGTGCAAGTACTTAAAAGCTGATGAGGGCCCTTAAAGTCAATCCGGAACCCTGTATGGTGAGTTACAATCAGTATTAGATTAATGCCTTTTGGTAACGTCCTTGTTCTTTCATAGACCTCGTTCCAGTACAAATAAATTTCGTCTTCAATTTTAAAACCTGGCAGTTCTGCAAGTTTGAAGTATTTCCAACTGAATAAAAGTAAGGCAAGTATTTTCACAAGTTTTTAGAATGATTAACAAAATATATTGGGGGAAAAAGACTTATACACCCGAAACTAACGTAAAATTGCATGTCAACTATGCTTCAATTAAAAGAAAAAACTTTAGGGGCGCCTGGGTGGCTTAGTCGGTTAGGCGTCGGACTTTCGCTTAGGTCATGATCTTGCGGTTCGTGGGTTCGAGCCCCACGTCGGGCTCTGTGCTGACTGCCAGCTCAGAGCCTGGAACCTGTTTCAGTCTGTGACTCCCTCTCTCTCTGACCCTCCACTGCTCACGCTGTGTCTCTCTCTCTCTCCTAGAAATATATAAAACATTAAAAAAAAAAATTAAAAAAGAAAAAGAACAAAGAAAGAAAAAGAAAGGAAAAAAGGAAGGAAGGAAGAAAACCCTTAAAACACACAAAACGTGCTCCATCTTGGGGCGCCTGGGTGGCTTCATCGGTGAAGCGTCCGACTTTCGCTTAGGTCATGATCTCGCGGTTCAGTTCGTGGGTTCGAGCCCCTCATCGGGCTCTGTGCTGACTGCCAGCTCAGAGCCTGGAGCCTGTTTCAGTCTGTGACTCCCTCTCTCTCTGGCCCTCCCCTGCTCACGCTGTCTCCNAAAAAAAAATAACTTTATATATGGTAAGGAAAGGGGTAAGGTGGGGGGAAAAAAGCAGATATGAGAGCACCAAATAATGGAAGAGTTGAAAAATGACCATGTGGCTTGGTAATCTTGCTTTGGCAGATAAAACCACAAATTACTGTGTATTTTCTCCCTGCTTCTGAAGCCTGCGTCTCAGTGATACTTCTGTCCATTCATTCATTCAGTTGTTCAAGTATTAAAGCACCTAATCTATACAAAACATCACAGGGACTTCAACAGCAATACTGCAATTTCTTAGACTACATAGTACTGACCACCCAGGATAGCATTTTTGTCTGGATATGAAGCAAGTTATTTTTTCGAGCCTAAATATGCAACCAGATTGAAAAATATACAACCCTCCATAGTTAAGCTGTCCAAAATGTGAACACTCAGCAAATATAGTAATGCCACATTGGAGGGAAAATACAATGTAAGGGGGGAAAATCCAAGTTTACTCTTGGGACTCTGAACCATTAAGCAACTGTTGAGATGGCCATTTATTGGATCTTGCCCTTAATTATGAGGTTCATGCAGTCTTAAGCTTGGGTTTCAAAAACCATTAATAATTACCCTTAAATGGCAAGCAAAAGGAAAATTTCATAATCAGGGTGGTGTGCTGTAAAGACTATAAAAGTCACGATCCTGCTCAACTCCACACTCCTATTGAATCCTTCTAGTTGGCTTGCTGCTGGGGCAACCAGGTAAGTGTGATTTTAGTACTTCCTGGGGCTTTTTCTGCTTCTTTTCAGAATGGTGCCAACGATACTGGTCAAGAGAGAAAGCAGGTTTGTGCCATCTAAAGATATTACCAGTAACTTAGAGGCTAAAAGCCATGGTCAGGCTTCCTCAAGACCACAGCCTACAGAACACAGACCAGGCACATCAAATGTGGAGAATGTCACAATTACTAATAAAAGCGTGTGGCTCCAGGGACAGATGTACTCTAAGAATAGACGTTGAGCATACTAAGATGATTATTTTTACTACACCAAGGAAAGACCCCAAAGACACTAAAGTGCTGGCCATCATTGGCATAAAACTCCATCTCCGCTTTCTGGTGAGCTCATTCCTTTCCTGCTTTACAGGACACCAAAATGAGTGTTAAAAAGTCTCCTGAAGAACTGAAGGGCATTTTTGCCAAGTACGCGGCCAAAGAAGGTGATCCAGACCAGCTGTCGAAGGAGGAGCTGAAGCTCTTGATTCAGACTGAATTCCCCAGTTTACTGAAAGTGAGTGTACAACCACAGAGCCCACGGAAGGGGGGGAGGAAAGCTCCGATGGTGACAAGGGAGGGCAGGGGAGGGGAGAGGCTGACGAGTGCAGTAGCCACCGGAGCTTGGTCTAGGGCAGAGCACGCAGCAGCCAAGGTGAAGTTTCACCTAGAGGACCCACAGGTCACCCAGAAAACACACACGGCCTTTAGCCTGGACGCGGCGAGATCCTCGCGCCAGGCTTTAGGAAAACAAAGAGGTCTGCAAAAAACAGCATTAGTTGGCCTTGGACTTGCTTCATTGTTATGGGTAGGATCTGTCAAGAAGACCAACACTTACTCGGCAATCTGTAAAGAAAACCCACTTTGCGCTGACAAATTGCCATCTGGCGACACCCATTTATATTTCAAAATCATTTAAATTTGTGTTAATTTGTGTTAAGCACCTAAATCTGTGTTAATGAGGCAGCCATGCATTTCTAAACAACTTCCAGGAAGGGATGCAATCTCTTTAGCCTTACTGTTTCTTGTCAAAACCGCCCCAGAGTTGTCAAAACCAAAGTGCATCTTGGGGCAATACAGAGGAGAGGCAGGCTGGTTCTCCGTGCTCCAAAATACTTTCCTTGCAACTAAAAGGGATGTTCAAAATGGAGGCGACTGCACAACTGTTTCATCCGACTTGGGTTACTATCTAGCTGTACCTTCAGAAGAAAGCATTTGCTTCCCAGATTTTAACCAGAAAGGTCTCTTCCGCCAGTATGAGTGTGAGGAGGTTCTCATTGTACTTGCTGAGGTTTCTGTGTTTAGTACTAAAGAGTGGTTGGATTCAATGACCTTATAATCCAATCTCGCCTCATTTTCTTACAGTTAAAATATAAAATAACCTTTAGAAACAGTTAAAGGAGAGCAGAAAAGGAGATTTTTTTTTAACTTTCTTGATTTTTATTTTATTTATTTATTTTTAAGTAGGCTCTACGCCCAACACAGGGCTTGAACTCACAACCCTGAGATCCAGAGTCGGATGCTCTACTGACTAAGTTAGCCAGATGTCCCAGAAAAGGAGACTTTGTAATTAAAAATTAAAACAAAGTTCTTTGAGAAAGATTAAAATCTTTTATTTTAAATGTTTACATATTTTTGAGAGAGAAAGAGACAGAGCATAAGTGAGGGAGGGGCAGAGAGAGAGGGAGACACGGAATCTGAAGCAGGCTCCAGGCTCTGGGCTGTCAGTACAGAGCCAGACTTGGTACTCGAACTCATGAACTGCGAGATAACGAACCAGATCATGACCTGAGCTGAAGGCAGACACTCAACTGACTGAGGCATACAGGTGCCCCGAGAAAGATTAAATTCTAAAAAACACTCTGAAGTGTTTCCAAAAGGAAGAAAAATTGTAATAGGAAGGAATAATAATAAAAGAAAGAAAAATAATAATCAGACAGGAAAGCCTAGGCAACCTACTCAAACAAGTTGTTTTAAAAGTTAAGACTGAGGAGGGAGGCACCTAGATGGCTCAGTCAGTTGAGTGTCCACGTTCAGCTCAGGTCATGATCTCCCAGTTTGGGAGCTCGAGCCCTGTGTCAGGCTCGCGGCTGTCAGCACAGAAACTGCTTTGGATCCTCTGTCCCACTCACCCCCCACCCCCCTCTGCCCTGCTTATTCTCTCTCTCAAAAATGAATAAACATTTATTTAAAAAAATAAAATAAAAGGTAAGACCAGGGAATTTTTCTATATTTTCCTACGGTTTATGTATTTACTACAAAAAGCATATATGACTTATAATTTGGATAAAGGTAGGAAGACTAATGGTAAGTTTTGAAAAATCTACTTACCAAGTCGTGTACCTGATTATATTTTCGTAACAATTACTAAGGTTTTCCAAGCTATGGTCTTTCCATCATCACCTTGTATGGTTTAGAATATAGTAAATGCTTCAGGAAGAGTGTTTGGTATTTATACAACAAATGCTGAGTAATTAATTTAGTTTAGTCTTCTGATCGCAGCAAAATACAAAATGTCTTTATAGGAATCTTACGGGTTAAAACATAGCTTGATGTGGCTGACCAGCTGTACAATGTCAACATACTTAACAACAGTGAACTGTTCACTTAAAAACAGTTAAGATGATAAATGTTAACATACTTAACAATAGTGAACTGTTCACTTAAAAACAGTTAAGATGATAAATGTTATGTGTTTTTTTACCACAATTTTTTAAAAATTGAGAGGGGGGCACGCCTAGGTGGCTGAGTCAGTTAAGCGTCTAATTTTGGCTCAGGTCATGATCTCACAGTTTGTGGGTTCAAGCTCCGTGTCAGGCTCTGTGCTGACAGCTCAGAGCCAGGAACCTGCTTTAGATTTTGTGTTTCCCTCTCTCTGCGCCCCTCTCCCGCTCACACTGACTGTCTCAGAGACTCTCTGTCGAAAATAAATAAACATTTTCAAAACATTAAAAAAAAAAAAAGACACTACAGAGTCAATAGATCAAGCTTAACATGATCTCTTATAACATCTCAAGCAGTGGTTCTCCGAACGAGATCGGTCCTGGACCAGCAGCATCAATATCACCCGGGAGCCTGTTGGAAATACAGATTCTCGGGCTCTACCCCAGGCCTAGTGACTCAGAAATTCTGGGAGTAGGAACCTGTCAGTCTGTATTTACTAAGGTCAGCAACCCCATCTGGCGACTCTGCTGTATGCCAAAGTCCGAGAAGCACTGATCCAGTCATCCCGCACAGCGTAGAGGTGGGCCGCAGCCCAGGGGGTGGGGAAAAACTAATGTGGTTCCTAGTTAAGAGGTTAGGCTCTAGGGTCAATGTTTGAGCCTCCAGCCCTCTCTATTTACCAGCTATGGAGCAAGTTAGCAGCTGTCTCAGAGCGTCAGTTTCCTCATCTGTTGAGTGAGTCTACAGAAAGCCCTTGACACAGAGCCGCCTCAGGTTATATGCTGGCCCAGCCCGGGAGCCAGACACGGAACTAGCTCCTGGGAAAAGTTGGGGCAAGAACCCTCCAGTGTTTGTGGGCCATGGGCTCCTCTGCAGTCCAGTGAAGCCGCAGATTCCTTCTCAAAGGAATGTTTTTAGAGGCATAAGGAACAATGGATCACAAAGAAAACCAATTGCAATTGATCCTTGTACAACATGGGTTTGAACTGCGAGGGTCCTCTTATACGCGGAGTTTTTACAGTGCGGTACCATAAATGTATTTGTCCTGCCTTATGACTTCCTTAATAACACTTTTCTTTTCTCAAGCTTACTTTATTGTAAGATAAAGTATTTAATACATGTAACATACAAAATATGTATTAATCAACTGTATATATGTTATCAGTAAGGCTTTCAGTCCACAGTAGGCTATTTTTTTTAAATGTTTTTTTTTTATTTATTTCTAGGAGAGAGAGAGAGACAGCGTGAGCAGGAGAGGGTCAAAGAGAGAGGGAGTCACAGACTGAAACAGGCTCCAGGCTCTGAGCCGGCAGTCAGCACAGAGCCCGACGCGGGGCCCGAACCCACGAACCGCAAGATCATGACCTAAGCGAAAGTCGGACGCTTAACCGACTAAGCCACCCAGGCGCCCCCACAGTAGGCTATTAATAATTCAGTCTTGCGGCGAGGCAAAAGTTATCCTCAGATTTTCGACTGTGTGAGGGTGAAGGGTCCACTGTATATTAAAATACACATTATCAATATTAAAATAATAAATGGCACGTAATGGAAACTTAGGCTGCCTTCTTGGAACACAGACCCCCTGCCTCTGATTTCAGGAAATGTGTAGCGGTAACTGATTCATTTTCTCTCCTCTCTCCTTTCCCATCCTTCTTGTCTAAAACCAGGGCCCCAGCACCCTAGACGACCTCTTTCAAGAACTGGACAAGAATGGAGACGGAGAAGTTAGTTTCGAAGAATTCCAGGTGTTAGTCAAGAAGATATCCCACTGAAGGAAAAAACAAACAGACATATCATTCCAAAAGAAGAGTGCCTGGGATGTGACCCTATTCTGTATGGAATCACTAATGTCTCTGGTTAATTCTTTGCAATTATAATGATCTGACTGTGAAGGCCAATTACTGTTAATAAAGAAATTCTTAGACATGTCTCTCCTTATCAGGTACAGACCCCCATAGCTTAATAGATTTGACAGAAACCTTAGTGTAATGCATCTAATTATATAGGCTTTTTTTTTTTTTTTCAAAGGCTGAGAATAGTTCCATGATCTTCACAAAGACTACAAAGATGGCGTCAGAGGCTTGGAAAGAACTCTGACGTGCCAAACCAGGGCCCTTATTCCGGTCTTCCACCAGAATAACCCTGTTCCTGCTCTCCCTCCCCAGCCGCTCAGGGCTCACGTCATTTCTAATTTCAGCCCCTACTTCACTCCAGTCAATAGCTAGTGAGGAGCAGACTTCAAAAAACAGATACTTGTCTTAAAGTCACCTCTATCACTTGCTGTGTTTTTTTGAATCAATGACCCTCTTGGGGAGTAGAAGCATTATAGGACCAAGAGTCAGTTCTGCTCCATCACCAAGGGGGTGGCCTTGATTCTGGTATGTAATGCGTAAAATAAAAGGGACAGGAAGACACAGGGCCCTCTCAGCTCTGGCATCCCATGCTGCCGGGACTCTCAGGATCTGAGAAACAGCTACCTTCAAGTTCCATTTGCTGAGTCAAGCTTGGGGGAAGGTGAGGGATGGGGGGGGTAGTGTTGGAGGGGAATTGAACCAAAGAAAAGAACAATGATTTCTAACTCTACCACCAAGAGACAAGGCAGATTTTTATACACGGGTAAGGAAATGTTTAAATACAATTTGTATCATTCTAATTCAATACAAGAGCATTCTCATTGCATCAAAAGCCTTAAACGTTTCTAATGACTAATTATATTCCACTGCAGGGATACCCCATAATAGTCTTACCTATTTTCCCATTGAGAGACACTTCAACTGTTGTCATTTCTGACTCTTCTAAACAATGCTATACTAATGAGTAACTAACTGTTCATACCTCTGTCAACACCATATTTCCTGCCTTAGGAGAATTTCCGAGAAGTAAATGCCTGAGTTACAGGGTATGAATATTTTGATGGTTTGTGAAACAGACCACCTAATTGATTTTCCAAAAGCTTGTATTGATTCAAAAATCTACAAACAGGTAGGAGAACACCAGCTTCACTCTCCAGACAGCATTAGTTGGTCTCATTTTAACAACTTCATTAGTCACCATAGTGCACATCTTTTACTCATTTCTAGTTTTCATAGGGATCCCCATTGACTTTATTGCCAGATATTGGTTTGTAAAAGATAATCTTTCTCTTGTTTAAGAAGTCTCCTCAGGACGCCGGGGCGGCTCAGTCGGTTAAGCATGTGACTCTTGATCTCGGGCCAGGTCTTGATCTCAGGGTTGTGAGTTCAAGCCCCACATTGGGCTCTGCTCTTGGGCATAAAGCCTACTTAAAACAAAAACAAAAACAAAAACAAAGTCCCCTTCTCTTCCTAGTTTGTTAAGAGATTGTGAGAAGGAGGGTTTGGGATCTGTAGACTGCCTACTGAACATCTACAGCTACATGGGGGTTCTCTCTTTTGTCTGATCAATATAATGCATTAATCAGTTCAGTCCCCAGCTTAACCATGCTGACCAGTCCAATCAATTATTCTTTAATGCTGTTAAATTGGGCACTCTCATATTTTGTTTCAGATTTTCATATCTCTATTAACAACCAACATTAGTCTATCATTTGGGGTTTTATTTTTTGTTACAGGTGCTTTGTTGACTTCTAATATCAAGGTCATGCCAGCTTCCCATTTTAGCTTGAGTTCTGGCTCTCTCTCCATTTGTCTCTCACAGAATAAACATAGGTTACCTCTTTCAACTCCAACATATATAAAGCAACTACTACGGACAGGACATTACACAAGATGCCATAAAAGATACAAACTTCTAGCCCTCTGAGATCCTAAGTTGGTAAGTCTGGGATGAGGTCAGGGAAAAGCTTCATCGAGAACTGGAATTTGCAAGAAAAGCCTCGATGGGAAGCTGTGGGGGAAGGGGAAGCACTGGGCTATCAGAAAGAGAGAAAACACCCCAAGTAAACACATCATGTGCAAGTTCAAGGCAGTTCAGAAACACACATACTACACTTTGGGTGGAAAGTCAGCTACAAGGAATTAGAGGGCACGTGGACTTCAGATCATGAGAGCCGTTGGTTGCCATGATAAACCAAGGTCAGAAGAAAGGGAGAGGAGGGGGGTAGGAGGTACAAAGTGATGTGAATGTGCTTTAGGAAGATGAGGTGGCAGCCACAAAGAGGCTGCAAGGGGTGGAAGGTGTCGGCAGGGTGGAGGCTGGGGCTGGGCAGTTGGGGCAAGCAGGGAAGGTGTCCGGGTGGCAATTCACAGGAAAGGCACAATGGAGACACCTTCTCTACCTGGCTAAGATTTACTGACTCGGACAAGTTATTGTCTGACTGCCTTCAAGAAGGGTGAAAAAGCATGAAGCGTTGTATGTAGCATGGGCGTACATGCCTACTTCATTGGCTTCCTTGGCCTGGTATCCGACAGTGAGCTCATTGCCCACATCCAACAGGATTCACCTGAATTTCCTCTTGAATCAACAGTAACAGCTTCTTGTCAATCACAAAACATCAATCCTCACTAGACTGTAGGCTCCACTAGGGCAAGGATTTTTACCTGTTCTTTCACTGAGGTATCCCCAAGTCGAGCTCAGAGCCTGGCACGTGGGACAGGTTCAATAGCTATTTGCTGAATGAATGATTCTTGAGTATCCGGTCACTAAATCTCATTGATTCATTCCATAAAGCTGCTCTGCCAGCCAGACTTTTCTACTCTAACTCCTGCCCCAACCCAGCTCCTTAGATTGCAGACTGAAGCTGCTAATACTCAACCAGCTGTGTCTGGAGTCTTCTATCCCCTCTCATCTCTCTCTCTCTTTCATGCCAGTTGAATCTTCCTCAAGCACTCATTCTATGGGAAAGCCTTCGGCTACGAGTACGGTATTTGCATACTATGTCACAGTTGACAGGTATTATCTTATGGGTTCCCTATTGCCTTCAGGATTAATTTTGACACTGATACTCAAGGACCTCCACAAATCCCCATCAATCTCCCTTATTTCCCACCACTTTCCTATAGGAGCCACATGCTTCACCCAAGCCACTAGGTATTTTATGAGCAAATTTGAACATTCCGGCCTCGCCTAACCCTCCCCTCCTCTCTATGAAGTCTCCAAGCCCTAGAAAACCTTCTCTTCTTACTATAATCCAAGTATTTCCTCCCGACTCTGAATTCTTAAGTATCTAAGGTCTACCTGTGCTGTGCAATACTGTGACATCAAGATTACGTGGCCATGGACATGCAAATCAATTAAAGTTCAATAGAATTTAAGGTTCCGTTCCTTGCCCATACTAGCTACGTTTCAAGTGCTCCACAGCCCCACGTGGCTAGTGGCCATCTATCATATTGGATGACACAAACCCAGAGCATTCTATCATGGCAGAAAGTTCTAGTCGACAGCACTGCTAGCATTAATGCGGGCCTAACGCACACACTACCCATATGTTTGGTTATCCATTTCACCAGTCTATGTCTTGAAGCCCAAGCTAAGCTTGTAATACACTATTTGGGACTGCGCTGAAGTGGACAAGCTCCAAATGTGCAGTGACTTTTTTTCTTTTTCATAATCTCTTTCCACTAGCATCCAGTTATTCCTACTGCAGAAAAATCTTTTAAGTGATTGAAAGGCCTATTCCTAAAGCATTTCCCATTGAGCTCAAGGTACAAAAGCTTTCAAATACATTAGCTTTGAAGTACTCATTTAGTCATTTATTGTGAAAATTATAGACTAACCTGGTGATTCACAAATGGGGGTTCGTTCTAAGCACTGCACTGTCTCCTTTCAAGAAATAGCCTGAGAGAGGGGGAGGGTCAGGTGGAGAAGATGCCCTTGCCATTAAACGGCAGCCATCATACCTAGACTTTTTCTTTCCACATAGAAAGCAGTTACTATGGCTAACAGCCTAATATCAACTCTGAACCTACAGTCCCCTAATAGACTACTAGGCTATCAGACTGGTTCATAAATGGCTATTTTACCCACGGTATATAGCTGCCTTCTTGACAGCTGCTTTGATGGCCAAGAAAAGTTTGTTAGTCCAAACTAAGCTCCGAATGACTTCTCTAAGACTATTTTGTTAGCTGGGAGATACTCACTCAATGTTCTAAATGCCGAGCAGCTTTCTAAGTAATAAAAAGTGGCCTGAGAGGTTACTCTCAGTGACTGAGTCTTTTTTTTTAATGTTTCTTAATTTGCTTTCCATATAAAATTGTTGAAAAATAACATGGAAGAAAAAAAATATTTCAAACAGGGCTTCATCTAGAGGTAGGAAAATGTTACCTATTAATTATGCTTAATGTACAACACAAATGACCCTTCACCTGAATCGACTTTTAATTATATGTAACTATTCCACAAATCCACGGTGTCAGATGTGAAATTAATTTTGACTTTGAAAATCTCTGGATTAAAAAAGGGTAAAGGAAGTCATATACATGATAACTAAAATTGAAATAGTATCAAACACCACAATCTCAAACGTCTATTTGCATCTGCTTAAAATGCTCCAAATTTCTCACGTATCTAAATATTGGAATGAGATCATTCTTCCTATATATGTCTCAAAAACCAAAAATATTCTAAATATAAAGTACACAGTGCTGTGAACTGGAGAGATCCAAAGCCAAATTCAAGGTCAAGGGTGTCAGCAAGCAGCCGAGTGATTGCTATAGAGTCAGAAAGCAAGCCACCTACAGCTGCAGTCGTGGTAAGCCTTGTCTAAAAAGCACGTAAACCTACTTTGAGGCAAGCTAAAAAGTCAGACTTGCTATAGAACCCTAAATATTTATTCTGCAAATTCCCAGAGCCTTCTATTTCACCTTGTGGATTAAGCAGAGAAATGACACACAAAAAAATAAATTTTATATGCTCTGTCCTGGTATTCTCAGAGTCTATCTTTGCTCTTCGAGAAAAATCTACTTCTCTCATATGTGTAAGAGATACCTCGTCTCAAATATCTCTCCTGGATGTCAGCGACTCTACTACTGTAAGAGACATTTACATGCATAAGGGAAATCTCCATCTGTAAGGGTGTCTTCCACTCCGCACCAGGAAAAAGACGACTAAATCTCTAGAAACTCATATGAATGGAGAAAGCATGGATTTAAATCTGCATAACAATCATATTCTTGTTTACTGCGTTTTTCTGGGTAACCCCCCCCACCCCGTGCCATTACCGGATCCCCAATCCCAACATCTGTCTTTAGCTGGAGATGTTATTTAATTTTGAAGGCTTGGGCCATTTTGGGGAGTTACTCAGTTTTCCCCGGGTCTCTCCCATGTATACAGGAAATATACATGTTATGAACCTTTCTTTGTTTTTGTCTTGTTAATCTTTTAATATAGGGAGGCCTCAGCCAAGAACCTAGAAGGGAGGAGTAAAAATTTTTTTTCCTCCTCCACACCTATGAAACAGATTTTAGCAGCAAATATACCCCAGAGGAGGCTCCTGGTTTCCAAATTGTTTACTTTTTCAGCCAAAAGGGCCAGAATGACCATAACCCACTGTAAGTCATTGTTATTTGCTCAAGTTTAAGTGATTTCCCCCAGGCTTCCTGGTGTCTGCCACCTGGTGATTCTATTACCTTAGCCTTTTCCTTTAATAGGACTTCTCACCATCATCACAAATGCTGGCTCTTAAGGCTATTTTTCTCCAACAAACTGATTGCAGGCCATAAAGATGTTCAGTAGCAATTAGGTTTTATTGTTCCCATCTCACTTATGAGTATAGAAGCTATCAAAATGCAAAATGCACAGATCCCAGACTTAGTAATTCCCTTTCAAGGAACTCATCCCATAGAAGTGTGTATGCATGGTGCAAGGACATATGTACACGGATGCTAACTTGCAACATGATTTAAAGTAGCAAAATAATGGACACAACCTAAATATTCATCAGTATGAGACTGGTTAAATAAAAGACGCATATAGCGGGGCAAGCGTGTGCAAGTTCCCTCTGCACCGATGTGGAGCGATCAGTACAGAAAGCAAGCGGGAACAGTGGCTCAAGCATCCCAGCCAATAAATTTGTTAAAAAGGAAGCACATATCCATATACGTGTGTGGGAAGATGGGGGTATGCATACACACACACACACACACACACACACACACACCAGTGCAAAGAATAATTGACAAAGAATTAACCTTGCCAAAGCTATGTAATAGTGGCACCTACTGGTAAGATCACTTCCTGTCCCAAAGTATTACCCTAGGAAAGAAAACCCATGATTTGCCTGCACAGCCATTTCAGCCATTAGTCAGGAAATATGTTTATAATAAAGCTTCATAAGGAACTCTTCTCTAGTCTTAGGTCTTCTGAGCATAAGACTTAAAAGTACCATCTGGCTGGGAAGTTATGGTTCATTATGGTCTGAATTGCAAGCTATAAAAAGGAGTGAAGAATATCTCTATATCCTTCCATGGAATGATCTCCAGCATACAGCGTTAAGGGGAAAAAAGCAAGATAGAAAAAAATGGGCAGAGTATGCCACTATTGATCCAAGAAGGAGAGGGGGTTACAAGTAAACATAGAGGTTTACTTGTATTTTTTAAATGGAAAGATAACGTATTTAAAAGAAGAATTGGTGACTCCCATAAAGGAAGGGAGGGAATGGGATGGAGGAGAGAGGAACAAGAGTGGATTTCTCAAAATCAGTGGTTCTTAACGGGGGCTATTTTGTCTGTGCTCCCAGTGGACATTCGGCAAGGTCTGGAAGAATTTTCAGTGTCACAGTTGGGGGTTGGGAGGAGTGTAGTACTGACGTCTCGTGGGTAGAGGCCCTGGATGCTCCTAAACATCCTCACAGTGCACAGGACACCACCACCCCCCCCCCGGCCTGGCCCCCCCACCCCACCCCAGCAAAGAATAATCCAGCCCCAAATGTCAATAGTGCAAATTATGTATCTAATAAGGAACTTGTATTCGGAATACATAAAGAACTCTTACAGCTTAATAATACAAAGACAAGGGGCGCCTGGGTGGCTCAGTCAGTTAAGCATCTGACTTCGGCTCGGGTCATAATCTCACGGTTCGTGAGTTCGAACCCCGCTTTGGGCTCTGTGCTGACAGCTCAGAGCCTGGAGCTGCTTCGGATTCTGTGTCTCCCTCTCCCTCTGCCTCTCCCCTGCTCACAGTCTGTCTCTCTCTCAAAAATAAATAAACATTTAAAAATCTTTAATAATAGTAATACAAAGACAAATAACCCAACTTAAAAACAGGCGTTTTAAGGACTTCAATAGACGTTTCTCCAAAGATGACATACAAGTGGCCAATAAGCACATGAAAAGATGCTCAAGATCCTTAGCCATCAGGGAAATGCAAATCAAAGCCACAACAAGATACTTCACACCCACAGGATGGCTCTAATCAAAAAGACAGATAATGCGACTCTTAATCTCAGGTTGTAAATTCAAGCCCCATGTGAGGTGTAGAAAACAGTGGGACAGGTCCTCAAAAGCTTAAACATATAGTCACCCTATAACCTACAATCCCACTCCTACATGTATATACGCAAGTGAAACCACACACATGTCCACACAACAACTTGTACACCAGTATTGGGTCATAGCAGCATTATTCATAACAGCCAAAAAGTAGACACAACCCAAATGACCATCAATGAATGAATGGATTAATAAAATGTGTTACGTCCATATAATGGAATATGATTCAGCACTAAAAAGAAACAGTATTGATAGATGCTATTAACACAGACGGACCTTGACAACATTATACTAAGTGACAGAACCCAGTCACAAAATGCCACATATTGTATGAATCCATTTACACGAAGTATCCGGAAGAGGCAAATCCATAGAGACAGAAAACAGATGAATGGCTGCCATGGGCTAGGGGTGACAGTAGCCGGGGGGTGTCAGGTTTAAGTGGTGTGAGGTTTCTTTTGAGGTAATGAGAATGGTCCAAAATTGATTGTGGTGATGGCTGCACAGATCTGTGCATTTGATAAAAGCGACTGAATCGTATGCTTCAAATGGCTAAATGTTATGGTATGTACCTATATCTCAGTAAAACTGTTGAAAAAAACAATCACGGGCCACCTGGCTGGCTCAATAGGAAGAGTATGCAACTCTTGATCTCAGGGTCATGAGTTCGAGCCCCACGTTGGATGTAGAGATTACTAAAAATAAATAATAAATAAACTTTTTTAAAAAGCCATCACAATGGTCAGGTATGCACTCTGACAGAGGTGAGTACGAGGCAAGGAAGGAAAGGAGGTCAGGATAGACTTCCCAAGATGAATAGGAAGTTGCCAGTCATAAGGTCTGGTTACTTTTCTAATTAAATTTTTCATTGGTTTTAGTGAGATTCCATAGGAGGGGAGGTTGCAGGAAGAGGGACACCTCAGGTATAGGGAATCTCAGGATCCATCTAAAAAAAAATCATTTAGATTGCCCAAACATCAACCCCCAAGCGTGGAAGGGATGAGGACACCAGACGTGAATTACAGCAGCCCCCCCTTATCCGTGGTTTCCCATTGTGGGGGGTCAGTACAGCCTGAGGCTACATCGCAGCGCCTGAGTCACTCACCTCATTTCATCGCCTCACACACGCATTCGCCTCACACACGCATTTTAGCAGCTCACATCCTCCCGGGAAGGAGGGTGGGTAGAGCACAGTAAGACATCTTGAGAGCCAGAGAAACCACACTCACGGAACTTTCATCACGGTACCCTGTTATCGTTGTTCTATTTTATTACTGTTGTTGTTCATCTCTTATTGTGCCCAATTTATAAATTATTGCAGGTGTGGATGGATAGGAAAACCTAAAGCATATACAGGGCTAGGCACTCTCCACAGTTTCAGGCAGCCCCTGGCGGCCTTGGCACGTGTCCCCCACAGATAAGCCGCCTGAGACAGAGCACAGTGACCTTCAGTCACAGCCAAGAACCTTGCACTGAATATTTCCTAGGAAAAGGAATCCGTGGAAGATGAGGAGCAGCGCAAAAACGTTGTCACGTTTGTTTCGGAAAGATCGATGACTGCCAATGTGGAGACTAGACAGACGGGCGAGGAGTCCAGAGACAGGACAGCCCATTTATTTATAGTAGCTGTTATAAATTGTTGTCACAGTCGATTTCATCCTTTCCTAAACATTAAGCTTGAAAACAGCTGCAAAAAGAGATCAGTCCAGGACTGTGTCTTTCTTCAAGGCACAGCTGACGAGAGGGACTATTGAGAACAGAGCAGTTCGATACAAAAATAATAGTAGCAGTAGTAATAATAATAAAATTGTATCTAATCTAAAATGTCCTGATGTTGTAATGAAGAAATAATAACAATAGCCCCTTGTGAGTTTAGGTCAGAGCCAGAAACAAAATGACCCAACCCAGAAAGAGAAACAAGCCACTTACCAGAGGAACACGGGCATTTGGCTCAAATTCTGTGGAATCAGCATCTGAAGATTAAGAAATGAGTTCAATCACTCACCAATATTGCTGAAAATAGTTTACGTAATACGAATTTTTTAAATAAAAGCTATTAGCAGGGCGCTTGGGTGGCTCAGTAGGTTAAGCATCCGACTCCGACTCAGGTCATGATCTTGCGATCCGGCATGAGTTTGAGCCCCAAGTCGGGCTCTGTGCTGACAGCTCTGAGCCTGGAGTCTGTTTCAGATTCGGTGTCTCCCCTGCTTCAAATTCTGTGTCTCCCTCTCTCTCTGTCCCTCTCCCGCTCACTCTGTGTCTCTGTCTCTGTCTCTCTCAAAAATAAACACTAAAAAATATTTTAAAGGTTATTAGCAAACAGCAGGCTTACCTTTCAAGTTAAGGCAGTTTCTTGCAAACTCTATCACTGCTAGTTGCATCCCGAGGCAAATCCCTATTCGAAAAAGCATATACATAAAGCAGATGAACATATTTTGTATTGCTTCGTATTTCCCATTCATTTGCTTACCGTCAGTCTCCTCTATCTAGAATGCAGGCTCAGAGAGAGCAAGACTCTGCCGGGTTCACTGCTATACCCTCTGCACTCAGATCAACCGTGGCAGAGGCAGGAAGGAGGATTAGACCATCTGGACTTGAGGAAGAGGGAATTCAAGGTCAGAAAAGGGCAAGAGAAGACAGGGCAACGTCCAAAAGGCAAATCTGCCTCCTTCCAGATTTGTCTCTAAATTGAGGCACACATGTAGGCTGCACAGCTGTGCCAGAGCACCTCATTCCTTCCGAGAATATCTAACAACACCCCCACTCAAGAGGGAGACTTCACACTCCCTCTTCTCAGAGGGCAGCCTCAAGCTGGCCAGCAGGCAGGGAACTAAGGAGTGGCAAGCCTGTGTCAGGCTGCTGGGCCCAGAACAGCCCTCTATGCTCCCTGCCGAACGCCGGCATCTCCATGCGGGCTGGAACATGGCGGAGAGCAGGGAAGGGGGATGCGAGACAGAAGCCAAGAGAGAGCTTGCTTGTTGAGGAGGAAATCAGACACCTGGGTAGCTCCAAGCGGCCACACGGATGGGCCCTTCACCCGTCTCTGCCTCCAGCAATTCTGTCTGCTAAACGAATGCCAAGGCGCACTCCAGATGTCATTATAGACACATCTGAGGTCTACAAGGGACTCATCGGAGAAGAGCAATCCACATACCTGGCGCACCAGAACAAAAGTTGGTGAGCCTGAAACAGCTGGGTGCTTTGGGGAGGAACTTCAGAAAGTTCCATATGGCTAAGACATAAAGAGACACATAAAGAGAGCTAAAGAGTTGCAAACTATTCTATGTAGTGAAATCTGAAGAACACAAACCACATTTAGACAAAAACCAAACAAGATGATTTTGGGAGGCAGTGGGGAAAATGAGCAATGTTCTGATATAAAAGGCACCGAAGCCAGTCCGCCCGGGTACAAACCCACCAGCACCGCCAAGCACAGTGTGAAACACAGCCTGTCCCCACTTCCGTTCCCACACCTGTCACCCCCCGCCCATTTCCCCAGCTGCAGGGCTGTCGTTACCCCATCGAGGGGCCAATTCATCCGGGTTCACGGGTCCAGAAGCCACGCTTTGCAATTTGAGCAAAGGCATTAAAAAGACCTGGCTCTACTAAATTTTAGCGAGTTCTTCCTGTGACATTGGATGGTCTGACTGTATTATCTTTTCTAGTTTCAAGCACTGAAAACATGGATTTGGGGAAAAATCAGAGAAGATAAGGGCAGGTGTACACCGCGACTTCTCCCAGCCTCTTGCTACCCAACCAGAAGAGCAGTGAGTTCTCCCAGGTCCGCAGCCTTTTCTATAAAGGCCTGGACAGTAAAGATGTTAGGGTGGCAGGCTGCAGGCCTCGAACTCTGCCACTGCACTATTACCACAGACAATGTGTAAACAGATCAGTGTGCTTTATTCCATTCACATATCATTTGCACAAACAGCCCATGAGCCAGGGGTGGCCTCCAGGACCTAGTTTGCTGGCCCCTGTGGCCGACTATTGCTACTTGAATATTCAAATCCGAGTATCACAGCCTTCACGTGAACAAACCCTATGAAATGTTACCCCCAATCTAATAAACTCGTACTCAGGATCCATAAACATGAGTTTTACCCAGGAAAGGGATCTTCTTTGTCCGTGCCCAAGAGATTGCCTGGAGTTTCCCCAGTGTTCCTCGGATTCCAAAGCCTCCTGGCACAAGAACACCACTGCAATCGATACAAGACGTAGGTGAATTTGACATTGTCTTTATTTTTAAAACTCTTATGCTCAGCTGCTCGTGTTTACTGATCCCAAGTCCAACGCTTGCCATGGTTGCTAAAGAATATGCTTGAGGTCTATTTTCAGAATTGACGACATGATTTCATCATGTCCTGAACTTTCTTCTTGAAATCCTCCCAATGTTATGAAGAAGATGGAATAATTTTTCACAACGGACTTCGAGCTATATTTTCTGATAGGTCTTGGTGGTATGTGAGCATACACAGTGACTGGGAAAACTCAATTCCCTTTAAAATGCCACTGAGAAAATTGTCTGAATAAAAATAGGGTAAGGTTCTTTTAAAAGTACTATTATAAAAATGTGAAGATCTCTTGCATAATCAGAGAGAGCCAAACCAGTAAAATCAGCTCAAGATTTCAACTGCTAATTAAGTAGTGGCACATGAAAATTTCCTGGCCAGGAGAGACTTTAGAAACCTTCTAAGCAGGGGTGCCTGGGTGGCTTAGTCGGTGAAGCGTCCGACTTTCGCTTAGGTCACGATCTCGCGGTTCGTGGGTTCGAGCCCCGCATTGGGCTCTGTGCTGACTGCCAGCTCAGAGCCTGGAGCCTGCTTCAGATTCTGTGTCTCCCTCTCTCTCTGACCCTCCCCTGCTCACGCTGTCTCTCTCTCTCTCTCCTAGAAATAAATAAAAAAACATTAAAAAAAAAAAAAGAAACCTTCTAAGCAAATACTTATTTGAGGAGACAAGAGCTCAAGAGACAGCTGGGAGGGTCATGCTGCCCCCACAATACAGTGCTGCCCCCCCAAGTTCTGTTGATTACTTATAAAATAAAATCTAGGGGTGCCTGCGTGGCTCAGTTGGTTAAGCGTCCGACTTAGGCTCAGGTCATGATCTCACAATTCACAAGTTCAAGCCCCACGTCAGGCTCTGTGCTGACAGCTCAGAGCCTGAAGCCGGCTTCACATTCTGTGTCTCCCTCTCTCTCTGCCCTTCCCCTGCTCACTCTCCCCAAAATAAATAAACATTAAAAAAATTTTTTAATTAGAAAAAGCACAAAAATTTGGAATTGAGGTAAATCAAATCATTATGGAAAAAGCACAGTGGCATTCTGCTAACTGGTCCTGGACAGGCCTCAGCACTCACTCAGCTTTGCATAGCTTCTGCCAAGCTTCATGGAATTTCACCGGGTCCTCGGTTTCGGTCGTCTGCTCCAGATCAATGGAGTCTATGTACTAAAAAACATCCAACAGATTAAAAGAACATTTAAGAAAAGTACATACTCAAAAATACTAGGGGCATCTAACATTATGACCCAATTATTCAATAACTACTTATTATGCAAACAGTGCACTGGTCGCTTAGGATAGAAATGCACAATCTCAGTCTTGTGGCTCTTAGAGCCTTCTGGTAAGGCTCCAGAACCAAATGAACAGGTATACGCACCATAGCGTGATAATGGCTATGATGGGCAAAGAGAATGCTGTGGAAATAAGTGGGAGCCACACTTAATTGAGACCCAGCGTGCAAGTTGGGAGGCCGGCAAGAAGGTGTGTGGGAGACACGGGGAGTGGGGGCGGGCGTGGAACACCTTGTATGAAAAATCTCAGAGTAAAGACAAAAAGGAGTGGTCACTCTGGGACTCTCAAAAGACACTCCACCCAGGGAGAGGAGAAGTTTACACTTGAAGCCATTGGAAGGTCTTAAGGAACACAGAGAACAGAGAGGGATTTTAGAAGGATCACTGTGCTATGATGTGGAAAATGGAGGGAAAATGGCAAACCCCTCGGGAAACCAGGCGAGGTAAACACAGAAGCAAAGTGGTCTAAAAAGAATATGGCAAGGCCGTGATTCAAACAGTACTTCGCAGAAGCGAATGCCAATAAATTCTGTCAACTGAGAAATCATGTACAAACGACTCCTACGTACATAAAAGTGCCTGGAGACCTATATTCTTTTAGTATTTATTTTGTCAAAATCACTATCCGAGTATATCTTAACATACAAAAGTTTAAAGGCTCTATAAAGTTTGTAGCCTAACAACTTTTCTATTGTGGTTTTCTTTTTTCTACGAGGGGGTGGGGGACTTGGATGAGCAGGAAGAAGAAGAGAAGAAAGTATTCATTGGAAAGCCACAAATCAAAAGTGATCACGAAAGGAGGGGACTAAACAGGTGAGAGAAGTCAGATAGGTCCTTAGTTGGAAGTTATGAAATTTCTCAGATGTATAAATGTATCTTTTTGCTCATTATATAAAGATTTCATTATTTAAATCAGGATAATAAGGCTTGCTTAAACCATCGTATACCTGTATAGAATATCATTAAATATAACATATATATACATATATGTGTATATATATATTTGTCTAGAAAGATATATACATATATACATATGTATGTATTTGTCTAGGAAGATATACATTCAATTGGTAATGACATTACAACAGAGAAGTAGGATTTCAGGAAGGAGGGACCTTCCACTTTCGGCATTTCAGGTGACACTTTGTTTAAATTTCCTATGTTAAGCATGGACTACTTCCATACCTAACAAAGACAAAGAACACACTCAAGCTGCAAATATGAATTCCCCCAGACTTCCCATGCATCTTTTCCCTTTGCTGACTTTGCTCTCTCTCCTTTGACTGTATTAAATCTTAGCCACAAGTCCAGCTATGTGCTGAGTACTGTGAGTGCTCCTGGTGACATCAATCCTGGAGGCTGTCTTGGGGATCCTTCAACACAGCCTGCCTCTGAAACACGAGACGTCACAGCGAATGACTGAAATATGGGGAAGACCAGCCGGGGCTCACCATCAGATTCAACTTGTGGTTGATGGCCAATGCAGAATGTTCTAGGGCTTTGAACACAGAGGCGTAGCAGTCCCTGAGCTTGGTGTATTTGCCAACCAGGGCTATGGAGCACGTTTTCTGCAATCTTTCATACCTGAGACGAAAGCAAAGCTTAAAGGTTATAGGCACGTGATATAACATCACAAACATAATGACAGCCACTGTTCGTTTCCCAAGGCGCTTTTCAAAACCTTAAGGACAGATGAGCCTCGAACTGGATGTACTTGACTCAAATTCCCCACCCCACCGCCAATGAATGAAAATCTATGTGCCGACAGATTGCAAAATCATAAGAAACCCCAACATTGGCTTGCATAAGCCGGCACAGATGTAAATCCAAGGAAAGAGTTTCAGAGAAAAAGTTAAAAGCATTAAAAGTTAAAAAGCTCTCTCCATCTCATAAACATGTGCTGTCCTTAAATTCGTTTATAAGGTGACACTGTATAAGAACATGCACTGTGAATGTCAACAGGAAACATTTCAATATTAACTCTGTAAGGTGACATTATATAAGAAAATGCTTTCAAACTGTCTAGAGTAAAAATGGTTACAGTCCCAGCTGGCCCACAAAAGCCAGGTTATTCGTGGCATGCCTGAAGAATGGCACTAACAGAACTCTTTACAATATTACAAGCCATTTAGATCATTTTTATGAGAAAATGCTATTCTACGTAAGACGCTCCATCACACTTTGCCATGAAAGACACAATGTTAACTGTTGCTGTTGTAAGGAAATCTGTTCAACGAATAGGAAAATCGTCTGGTCCGGTACTACGTAAGTACAAATGTCATCTTGGGGCTGAAGATGGTTTAGAGTCTGGAAGCAAACCCTTCCCCACACACCTTAGAACAGAAAGGTTGCCATGAGCAGAAGTCCTCCCTCCTACCAACATCTGCTGAGTGTGCCGGAGAAATGTGATCACAGCAGGCAAGCTGGAGAAACACGCCTAAGAAACTAAGGGGTCAAAACTGACAGTAAAGGTGACTTTCCAGGAAGGTGGCTGAACCACCTAGGAAAAGGCGGCTAAATCTTTAGCTCGTTCCAGAATTTTATGTTGCTCTGGAGACTGTGAGGCTGCCTGTGCTTCACCCCATCGCTGCCTAAAGGACACAGGTGACAAAGCAAGTGGCGTCAAGGTAAGATCCCATACCTAGCTAGAGTCACTCGGCAGCTGGGGGAGACGGGGGCGTCCCCTGAGCCACACGTCCCAGGGAGAAGGGCTGCCATTCAGGAAGGGCATGTATCCTGAGCCCACTGGCCTCGTGCTCGGTTTCCCGCTCGGACCTACAGGCCAGGCTCACGGAGCCCTGTCCAGCCCAGCCCTTTGACTTCTGTTCGCTTTCTCGTGTCCTCCCTACAGGCTGTCCTGAGAGGACAGTACACACCATCGTTACAAATAAGCCGACAGCACCGCAAGAGACCGAGGCCCAGGTTGTGAATTTCTGACGTCCACAACTGTGGGAGAAGAAATTTCTCACATTTTATGCGGCCCAGTTTGTGGTAATTTGTTTCAGCAGCCACAGGAAACTAATAGGAAGACCAAACACTGGCTTTTAAAAAGCACAGCAGGGGTGCCTGTGTGGCTCAGTCGGCCTCGGCTCAGGTCGTGATCTCACGGTTCATGGGTTCGAGCCCCGTGTCGGACTCTGTGCTGACTGCCAGCTCAGAGCCTGGAGCCTGCTTCTGATTCTGTGTCTCCCTCCCCTACTCACGCTGCCTGCCTCTCCCTCTCTCTCTCTCTCTCTCTCTCTCTCTCTCTCTCTGTCTCTCTCAGAAGTAAATAAAACATTAAAAAAAATAAAAATTAAAAAAATAAAAAAGCACAGCAGCATAGAGTAATTTACAGTTCTTTCCAATAAAAGTTAAATATTCAAATTTCTAGTGCTGAAAGAGGATCAGCCCCCAAGCTACTCAGAAAAATCCTATAAAGCGACTGATTCCTTCACTGTGTCGTCATTCAGTAGAGCCCCTAAGTTCCGAAATGGCACTTTATTTCTGATTTCACTTGCCCCAGCGATTCTAAATCTCTTTTTAAAAGTTTTAAGTGAGAGGTCAAGGAACTTCAATCTACTGGTCATCTACCAAAAAGTCATTTTGTCAGCATCAAACCATTTTAATTAATGGCACTAACTTCAGTAACACTGAGGAACCAATACCCGGTGCCCAATGCAAGATTGAGATCTAATGTGTTTTCTCTCATAATTATCTCAGTGTGGGGAGTAGTATCGCCCCGTGACATAGGGATGCGAAAACAGGTCCAGAGAGGTTAAGTAATCCACCCAAACTCACGCAGCTAGTGAGAGGAAAAGCTGGGGCCCAAAGCCAGAGCTTACATTTTTTTATTGAAATATAAATGGCATGTAGTATTATATTGGTTTCAGGGATACAATATAAGGAAGGATTTGATATTCGTATATGTTATGAAACGATCACCTCAATAGGTCTCATTAATGTCCATCACCACAGTTACAATTTTCTTTTTCTTGTGATGAGAACTTTCAAGCTCTATTTCTTAGCAAACGAGAGCCTGAATTTGTAACTGCTGCACCTGTTGCCTCTGCCTAAGCTGCACAAAAAGCCAGGCAGTCAGGACTTTATGGGGTTAGGCCTTGTCTACATCTAGTAAAAGAAACAGGCGACAGGGATTTAATTTCCCTATGACCTCAAATGAGACAAACTTGCTGAAATCAATATCGTTGTCTCAAAGCTAGATCCTATCTGAGATTTTAATAACAATGCTGATAGTTAATAACTGCAGGATAGAACAATGATGATATAGCCTAAACTTCTCATTGAAAGGGATTTCGGGGGGCACCTGGGTGGCTTAGTCGGTTAAGCGTCCGACTTTCGCTTAGGTCATGATCTCGCGGTTCGTGGGTTCGAGCCCCGCATCGGGCTCTGTGCTGACTGCCAGCTCAGAGCCTGGAGCCTATTTCAGAGCCTGTATCTCCCTCTCTCTCTGACCCTCCCCTGCTCATGCTGTCTCTCTCTCTCCTAGAAAGAAAAAAAAAGAAAAAAAAAAAAAGAAAGAAAGGGATTTCGGAGATGACTGACCGGCTCAGTCAGAAGAGCATACAATTCTTGATCTCAGGGTTGTGAGTTTGAGACCCCCGTGGGTGTCGACATTACTAAAAAATAAACTTAAAAAACAAAGCAAAACAAACAGCAATAACAAACACCTGTGACATTTAAACCTGTTTAAAATATTCAGAAATGGGGCAGTGGGTATGAAAAAAAATTCAGAAACTGGGCACTTGGGTGGCTCAGTTGGTTAAATGTCTGACTCTTGATTTCAGCTCAGGTCATGATCTCATGGCTGGTAAGTCTGAGCCCTGCATCAGGCTCCGTGCTGACAGCATGGAGCCTGCCTGTGATTCTCTCTCTCCCTCTCTCTGCTCCTACCCTGCTCATGCTCTCTCTCTCTCTGTCTCTCAAAAGAAATACATTTTTAAAAAAGGAAAAATGTTTAAAAATATAAAATACGTATTCAGAAACTAAGAAATAAACTAATAAATAAATCAAAAGGCTTTCAGAATTAACAACAACAAAAAAATCATTCCGGAATCCAAATTCCTTCAATTCACTTTCATTTAAGTAGAACAAAATCAAAAGCCCCAGAAATCTTCAAAGAATATAGCAAAACACTCTAACAATGTGTTGAAGCTTTAGATAAATCCAGGCCAAAACATACACATGCAGAAAGCTGAATGTGACATAGATATCCTTCAAGCTATGTCTCAGTTCTACCCTCAAACCTAAGAATTATTAAAGATTACATTAGTAATTCCTTTCACGTACCTGTCAGCCATATTTCTCCACTTGAAAAGCAAATTACTTGCAGAATCACCAATGGGCAGATCCAACCTCTCTTTAAAATATTTAACAATGCCTTGTTCTTCCAAAAGCACGGGCACTCGATATGTTGCAGAAACATCATGGATACATATGACCTGATTAATGATGATAAAACACCATATTTAAACGGAACACCTCAAATATGCCTCAAGAATGAGCCAAAACTCGAGAGACATGGTAGTTCATTTATACTGATTGAGGAAAAGCAAGAGCCCGGTGATGCAAACAAGAGGCAGAATTAATACAAGTTTACTTTGAACTCTTTGAACTCATTATTCCAAATCAGGAAACATGTGGTGTGTGTGTGTGTGTGTGTGTGTGTGTGTGTGTGTGTGTGTGTACACACACAAAACAATATATATCTGGGCTTTGCTCTCAATTTCCGGCACAACGCTTCAAAAACCTTTGGAATTTCCTGAGTGACAGGGGTAGGGGTCTTTGTTATTCTAATGAGGTGACTCATGGTGGTCCCTAGATGGCTTCAGGATGGGAGTTGGTCACCAGAAAACCCAACCAAGTTAGGCTGGAACTTTCAGCCACATGACTTCCAAGGACAATAAGGGAGCTGGAGCATAAGTTCAATCACGTGACCAATGATTTACTCAATCATGCCCATATAATGAAACCTCCATTAAAAAAAAACTCTGGATACCAAGACTCAGGGGACTGTCCTGGTTGGTACATGTACACAGATGTACCAGGAGGTTGCCACAACCTGACTCCATGGCAACAAAAGTTCCTGTACTTGGGATCCTCCTAGGCCTTGCCCTATGTATCTCTTCATCTGGTCGCTCATTGGCAGTCTTTATAATAAAATGGTGATAGTAAAGATAGCACTTTCCTGAGTTCCATGAGTCATTCTAGAGAATTATTGAACCTAAGGAAGTTATGAAAAGCCCTAAATTAACAGTCAACCAGGCAGAAGTGAAAGTGGTTTGGGGACTCTGGAAATTTGTGACTGGTGTCTGAAGCGTGGAGGGGTGGTCTTATAAATAACTCAGCCCCTGGGGCACCTGGGTGGCTCAGTCGGTTAAGCGTCTGACTTCGGCTCAGGTTATGATCTCACAGCTCGTGAGTTCGAGCCCCGCTTCAGGCTCTGTGTTGACAACTCAGAGCCTGGATCCTGCTTCGGATTCTGTCTTCCTCTCTCTCTGCCCCTCCCCTGCTCATGCTGTCTCTCTTTCTCTCAAAAATAGACATTAAAAGAATTAAAAAAAAAAAAAGAACTCAGCTCTCAAATCTGTGGACTCTGATGCTCAATTCAGGTAGTTAGTGTCAGAGTTGAATTGCAGGACCTCAGCTGGTGTCAGAGAACTGGTGTTGGAACACAGATGCTTTATGTGTCAATAGCTAAGACATCTGGCCCAAGGCATCACCTTCTAAGTCTAGGCTAAGGCAGTCACGCTGAACACGTATACTGTGTCTTCTAAAGGTGGGTGTGCGGTTCGTTTGTGCATTCATTTGTTGCGGTTGCTGCAGCTGTAGTGCTTTTGTCTACTCCCTTCATTTGGATAAATTTCCAAGCACATATTGAATCCAGTCAAATTAATTACACCTGTTAGAGGAGACTGTCTCCCTTAAATGCCAGGTGCTATGGCTGTTTTTCACGTCTACCCTAATGAGCTTTCACCACCCTCTTAAGTACATCCGAGGGGCTGCTGGCAGGCATTTAAGGGTCTGCCACAATCTAAATCAATGCCAAAGAAATATTCTTCTAAGTCTGTGTGTTCAGTCTTCCCAAGTCCATTGCCAAATCCACCCACGGGTCCCTAAGTTGTTTGGACATCACCAACTTGATACTTAGAGGACTTCTGGGCCTCACTTGTGCATTCACAGTGCCAAGAGGTCACTGATGTGAGCTCCATCCTAACTACTAATTCAAACCAAATCTCTGGCCAGCCCAAACTCCCGTAGTGGAAGACACGGAATGTGGGGATATTTACTACTTTATCCTCCAGGTCGAAGAGATATTTTTTCAAATGTCATGGTAATGACCACATCCATAGAGACGCCTCTGACCCTCCATCCTCTCCTCAGGAAACCAGAGGACAAGATCTTTAAATGCAAGTTCACCAGGAACGAAGAATTAGGAGCATTAACTCACATCAGAAAAAATGATGTGCTGAAAAATGCCTAATAAACTAGCCTGTGAATTGATGGGCTAGAGCATTCTTCGGGATCTATAGTCTTGTAGAAAACAGGCTCTGTGTGGTCAGAAATTTGCATTCGTCTGTTCTCAGAGCTCTCAGTAACTCGACTCTGAAAACGGTAACCTCCTTCCATTTCAGTGACCAAGTTATATAGCACAGACACAAAGTACTATGCACCAGTAGGAAGGATACAAAAAACAACAGAACAAAGCCAAAGTGGCTTGATGACATACAAATACAGGACAGCCCTTTAAACCTGCCATCACATTTTTCAAAATCGTTCAGACGCGTGTGCTGACCCCGAAGCATCAGACAGGAGGCTGTGCACTGGACTGTCTCCAGAGATACAGAAATCCAATTAGAGGGTTTTTAGGCTTCAAAGAACCCAGGGCTAATCTGAAGAAAACAAAAGGCTTCTGCCAAACCTCACCTTTTTCCTGAGCGCCATTCATATCGCTTTTTAAACTATAGCCTGCACTGATCCCTTAACACCTAAGCCTCGTTGCAAACAAGAGACAGATAAGAGAATGAAAGAAAAAAGAAAAAGCTCTCAGATACCCAGGTGCAAAGTCGTGCAGGACAGAGGACTTGAGCCCAAATCACCGTACAGTTTCTGTAGCAATGAATTGAACTGAGGCCACTGATGTAATTGGAAGTGATGGCGTGAATGTCAATACGATGTGTGGTCTGGACGGAGCGAAGCTGTAACACGTACAAAGGAGGAATCGCAGTGAAAGAAATAAGTGTCCCAGAAAGACAAGATAAACAGACGATAAGCAGGCTTCACATGGTTCTCTCTTAGAGGTTTGACGGTAAGTTAAAAAGCCCACCTGGCTTCGTACCTGTAACCTGAGGCATGACTATGCAAAGAAGCCTGTGATCTACCTAAGGAATCAGGAGTCTCTCGCATCGTTCACTTCAGGGCAAGGGGGCTGTGGCTGGATATGAATCTCCTCCCAAAGCTTTCATAAGTGCCATGAAAAGGAATATGATAATTTAAGAGATGCACAACATTAGCATCAGCAGAAGTGCCTGCGAGGCAATAAAATCTGAAGAGCAGCACTAACCTGTTCAGGGTTCACATGACAAAACATGGAAATCTTTTCCTTCACGGCCATTTCGATAGGCGTTGAACTCCGGCATACAATCTGTCAAAGTCAGTTTTGCAAAGGTCAGCAAGCAGGAACCCAGCGGTTCGTCCCACCATTCATTTTCAGGAGGATGCTATATTAATCTCTTCTCACAACAGAGACCCGACCAAATATGTGCCTGTTCATCCTGGGCATTCCGCTGGACTCTTAGAAACATCAGAGCGCTAATTTAAGCCAGTATAACCAAACTTAACACAAATCTGCCAGTAAAACGTCCAGGCATTTCTAGTAAACAAGAGGGAAGGCTCACAAATGTTGCTTCTTTAGAAACAAGATCAGAGCTAGACCAGGGGTTGGCAAACGTGTTCTCTAAAGGGAACTGTTTGTTATCTCTAAAAGGAAGTGTTTATTATCTCTAGATAATAAACATTTTAGGTTTTGCAAGTCAAGAAGCTATTGTCCTGACTACTCAATTGTGTCCGTGTAATACAAGGGCAGCTGTGGACAAATGCAAGCTGGATAGATGGTACCAGGTTCCAATAAAACTTTATTTATGGGCAGGAGGCCTGTAGGCCCTTATTTACTAACCTCTGATCTAGACTACTGGTGATAACTGGGTTATCTGCTCTAAATCAGAGCAGTGACAGCCCACCCTAGTGGGTCTCAGGAAAATCTCAAAGGTCCCACCTCACTCTAAAAGACCTAAGGACCATAAACATGACAGGACGTTGCACTTGCCAATCACATGAGGACCCTGAGGAGAACAGATGGCCAGTTTAGAAGTGTGTGAAGCTACCCACGAGGGTATGGGAATAAGCCTTCCCTGGCCCCCAGATACCAAAAGTTCCATATCCAAGGAACCATCTGAGAGATAGAAAGGACTTAGATGATTCTACAGATCAAGAAACGGAGGTCCTATTCCAAGGAATTTACCCACTCTCCTCAACTCACCAGATCAGGGGACAGGCCTAACCCTCTCAGCGCACGGACACTGTTTTGCGTGGGTTTGGTTTTTTGTTCTCCAGTAGCACTGGGCTGAAAAGAAATGGATATTGGATATTTAGCTCTTCTGGATGATGAATGGCTCCCTAGCTTAAAATGTGGAATAAATAAGGAAAAAGTTTCTCTTTTGCTGTCCTCCATGCTGCTCCCATACAGTGTATTCAACAAACTTCTACATCCTCTAAAAAAAATGTGGAATCGGGCCGCCTGGGTGGCTCAGCCAGTTAAGCGTCCGACTTCGGCTCAGGTTATGATCTCACGGTTTATGGGTTCGAGCCTCGTGTTGGGCTCTGCACTGACAGCGCAGAGCCTGGAGCTGCTTCAGATTCTGTGTCTCGCTCTCACTCTGTCCCTAATCCTGCTCATGCTCTGTTTGTCTCTCAAAAAATGAATAAAACGGGGGCGCCTGGGTGGCTTAGTCGGTTAAGCGTCCGACTTTCGCTTAGGTCATGATCTCGCGGTTCGTGGGTTCGGGCCCCGCATCAGGCTCTGTGCTGACTGCCAGCTCAGAGCCTGGAGCCTGTTTCAGAGTCTGTGTCTCCCTCTCTCTCTGACCCTCCCCTGCTCACGCCGTCTCTCTCTCTCTCTCCTAGAAATAAATTTTTAAAAAATATTTTAAAAAAACGAATAAAACATTTAAAAAATAATAAAGGAAGTGACATTAAAAAAATTTTTTTAATGCAGAATAAATAGAATATCATAGGAAGACTTTTAGAAGTTGCTGTCTACAGGGCCACCTGGGGGCTCGGTTGGTTAAGTGTCCAACTCTTGATTTCAGCTCAGGTCATGATCTCACAAACTGTGAGACTGAGCCCGGAGGCAGGCTTTATGCTGGTAATGCAGAGCCTACTTGCTTAGGATTCTCTCTCCCTCTCTCTCTGTCCCTGCCCTACATGTGCACACGCTCTCTTTCTCTATCAGAATTTTTTTTTAAAAATGAAAGAAAGAAAGAAAGAAAGAAAGAAAGAAAGAAAGAAAGAAAGAAAGAAAGAAAGAAAGAATTTGCTCTCTATATACTTATCTGGAAAGCTCACCTGTGGAACAAGGCTAACATGGATATTGCAGAAATTCTCTCTTTTTGCTTTAAACTGGAATTGTCTGAATGCTTCCACAAACGGCATCCCTTCAATGTCTCCAATGGTACCACCCAACTAGGAATGGGGGGAAAAAAACCACAAGTGATCTTTCACAGTATACAGACTAACAGAAACATTATTTTTTTTAATTTTTTTTAATGTTTTATTTATTTCTAGGAGAGAGAGAGAGACAGCGTGAGCAGGGGAGGGTCAGAGAGAGAGGGAGTCACAGATTGAAACAGGCTCCAGGCTCTGAGCCGGCAGTCAGCACAGAGCCCGACGCGGGGCTCGAACCCACGAACCGCGAGATCATGACCTAAGCGAAAGTCGGATGCTTAATCGACTAAGCCACCCAGGCGCCCCAGAAACATTATTAATAAACAGAGCGCCAGACAGGGCACACCTGCGTGGCTCACTGGGTTAAGCATCCGACTCTTGATTTTGGCTCAGGTCATGATCTCACAGTTCATGGGTTCGAGCCCTGTGTCAGGCTCTTTGATGACAGCGTGGAGCCTGCTTGGGATTCTCTCTCCCTCTCTCTCTCTGCCCCTCTCCCACTCACTGTCTCCTTCTCTCTCTCTCTCTCTCTCAAAATAAATAAACTTTAAAAAAATAAACAGCACAAAAACAGGTTTATACATATACTAAAAATCATTGAATTGTATACTTAAAGCAGGTAAAATTTATAATATATAAATTAAACCTCACTAAAGCTGTTTGACATGAAAGAGAAAAGCACTGTACATTTAAGAAGGAGATGAAGCAAAGGAAAGAGAAAATGGAGACTAGAAAGTAAACTAAGAAGAAAGGATGCAGTATAACATAACCAGGTAAGCAGGTAAGAGAATAAGCAGAGAACAGCAAGAAGGGAAAAGAAAACGTAGCGCCTGAGTGGCTCAGTTGGTTGAGTATCTGACTACTGATTTCAGTTCAGTTCATGTTTGATCCCCAAGTCTGACTCCGCACTGGGGTGTGGTGCCTGCGGGAGATTCTCTCTCTCCCTCTGCCCCTCGCCCAGGCTTTCTCCTCTCTCTCTCTAAAAAAAAAAAAAAAGGAGGGGCGGGGGGGAAGAAAGCAAGGTCAAGGAAGGCTCTAAGAATGACCTTGACTCCTGGGGTGCCCAGGTGGCTCAGTCAGTTGAACATCCGACTTTGTATCAGGTCACCATCTCACAGTTCACGGGTTCGAACCCCACATCAGACTCACTGCTGTCAGTGTAGAGTCCGCTTCAGATCCTCTGTCCCCTTCTCTCTGCCCCACTCCCGCTCATGTGCACTCTCTCTCTCTCAGAAACAAAAAAATAAAACATTAAAAACATAAAGAATGACCTGACTCCTGTGTTATAAGATCCTGTTGTATGGAGATAGGGACTAAGCTAAGTAAATGAATTCTGCTATCACTGATTCACTTGGATTTTACAGACAGTAAATCCCCTCATTCAAAAAAATGGGGAACCATTGTAAAACTGTCAACCTTTCATCTCACCAAGATTGAAAAAAAAATGTTTACAAGAAAAGGAAGGCTTTAAGGGAAGGGAATTCATAAGCAGATAAAAAGATCCAAAATATAGGCCACTGAGGAGTGAGATCAGCTAGTTTCTACCAGTGGTCCACTGGACAGCAGAATTCAAATCCAGTGACTATGTGAGAAAGATGAGGGCCACCTGTGCTGCCTGGGGTGAAATACCTCGTGCGCTCTCTGTCTCTCACTCTCTCTCCCCCCTCCATGTGTACACGCGCACGCACACACAGACACACACACACACACACCCACCCCTGCATGCATCTGAACATTTCTCCTTGAGACAGTGGTATTGCTAGAATTAAACAACTGCTATTAAAACACGCTGGCTTTCTGAAACAGTAGTACCGAAAGAACATTCCTGACAGTGTAATCCTTTGATAAATGTTAGCTTAATTTACAATGTGCTTCTAACAAGTAAGGCATTTTAAAGTAAGCATTTACTTTAGGATAAAATTTGCCTTAACCTACGTATCCTCACCATCTTTAAATACTTAAAGACTATCACCTGGATTTTAAAATTAATTATCTAGCACATGACGACCTACTGCATGCTCAACACTATAAATGAGGCGCTGGGAAGAATTTAAGACAACGTGCTCTTAAGGAGCTCAGAATTTAGCGACGAAAATAAAGCAGAGGTAAAGAACAATAATGAGGAGGAAAACTTAAGTACTAACTGAAATGATCTGGAAGCTGAGGAGGAAAGAGGTCATGGTGGGCCCAGTCCCAGAATGCACCATCTTGTCTGGCTTCAGCTACCTGACTAGGTCTGCAATCTCCTACGAGCCCTGACCTGTCTCCCCAGCACAACTGAGTTTTGGAGCCAACAAGCCCTTGACATCCTGGATGGCTCAACAATTACTCAAACTTACTGTGTCCCAAACTGAACTCCCCTTACCCCTGGGCCTGTTTCTCCGCATGTCTCCTCATCTCAGCAAAGGCGTCTCTTCCCACTAACTGGTTCAAGCCAGCTGTCTGGAAATCATACTTGATCCCCGCTTTTCCTCATCCAACCCAGTCCAGCGCGTCATACCTGTAACACCTCTTGAAAATCTCTCCCCTGCTCTCTATGCCCACCTCGACCACCTCAGACACCCACACTAACACCACCTTTTGCCAGGATTATTGCAATAACCTAAACCAGGGAGTGGTAAACTACAGCCTGCGGCTTCTTTTTATATATAAAGTTTTATTGATTGGCCAAAGGTATGCCCATATTGTCTGTGGCTGCTTTCACACTACAACGGCAGAGTTGAGTAGCTGTGACAGAGGCTCTCTGACCCACAAAGCCAACCATATCTATCTGGCCCTTTATGGAAAAGGTTGGCTGACCTCCCCATCTAAATGGCCTCCTAGCTTCTCCCCTCTCCTATCCTACAACTAAATCATTTGTCACACACCAGCAGAGGGACGTTATAAAAACTCAGAATATTGGGCACCCGGGTGGCTCAGTCGGTTAAGCATCCGATTTCAGCTCAGGTCATGAGCCTGCACTTTGTGAGTTTGAGTCCCACATCGGGCTCTGTGCTGACAGCTCAGAGCCTGGAGGCTGTTTCAGATTCTGTGTCTCTCTCGCTCTCTCTCTCTGCCCCTCCCCTGCTCATGCTAATGCTCTGTCTCTGTCTCTCTTAAAAATAAAATGGAAAAAAAAAAATGGACATTAAAAAATTTTTTTAAAAACTCAAAATATTAAAACAAAACAAAACCTCACAATATATCTCTCCTGAGCTTATACCCTCAGTGGCTTGCTGCTTCACTAAAAATAAACTCTAAATTCCTTTAGGCAGCCAATCAAAGGCCCTACATGATCTGGCCTTTGCTTAGGGTTCTAATCTCATCTCGTGCCCCTGCTCACCGCCCTCCCCCCACCCCCTGCGTGTGTGCTTCAGCCCCACTGGATTTTCAGGCCCTCACATGGGCCACTCTCTTCTTCCTGCCCCGTAAGCTCTCTAACACTCCTTCTTTATCTACATCTATCTCTTCTTTATCCTTCAGCCTGAAAGGCCACGTCTTCCTCAGAAAGCCAGACCTTGACCACCACCTAGAGCAGACTCCCTCCCACCACTCCCTATCACAGCGCTGTGTCTGTGGCCTTCCTACGAAGTCGGCACCGGGTGCCATTATTTCGCGTGCGTTCTTGTTTCCCGCCTCTAGCTCTAAGCCCCAGGAGGAGATTAGGAACATACCCGCCCTGCTCCCCACCCTATCTCTGGCACAAGCCCAGCTCCCTGGGGTTGAAGGGGCTCAGGACAGGTCTCCCAGAAGTATGCCACTCTGCCATGAAGATTATTTTGAACTAAAAGCAATCAAAACCCAGCAGATTCAGGAAAAGCTCTTCACCTCCCCCTCAACTGCCTAAATTTACATTGGAGACTGTGGGATCCCTGTCCCAGGAAGAAAGCTATTACCAGAGAGCCCCTTTACCTAAGAAACTTAGCTGCATAACAGGGAAGTCATTGTTTTCCAAACATCTCCTCTGCCTCCCTGCAAATGGCCTACCTCCCTTTGTAGCCTCGAGGCTCTACCCCTCTCCTTGATTCAGGGTGTCATATAAGCCTCATTTTGCCTGACTGCTTGGGAATCTTTCATGTTTATATGGATTTTCTGTATGTATGTAATTCAGCCTTTGATTTTGTCCAGTTAATCTGTTTCATGTCGGTTGGATTCTTAGATCAACCAGAAGAACCTTGAAGGGTAACAGTAAAATTTTCCCTCTCCAACAGGGTTTAGCTTAGCTGTCATCTCAGGGCAGAAGGGTCTCAAAAGTCAATATAAGCCCTAGGAAACAGCATTCTAGTACCTGTTACTGTAACTGCAATGGAATCAAACTAAGAAATCTCAAGACTACATTGTTACAAAAAAGAAAATGATTCTTTACTAATTTTAAGCCAGATAACAAAACATAATTAAAATTCAAGCTTCCCGGGTGTGGAACAGATAGAAATATACGACCTTTGTGTAGGAGAATGACAAACTTATTACAAAAATCCTAGAAAAATCACAAGCAATCAGGAAATTGGCAGGGGGTAAAGGGCTTAAGTGCTCACCAACTGCAACGCACCAGAATCCAATGGGAAAAAATTTTAGGAAAAAAAAAAAAAGGTCTCTGCACTGAAACTAAACCATATAGGGACATCTGTTTTTTCATAGGTGTACTCTCGTAATCTACAGGCAATCTGGAAAAGAAGGCAAAAGGCTATAAACATTATCCACTTCTGCCCTCACATGGCTTAGAGTGGTACTGCAAGTCTCGGCCAATTAGGAAGATCCCATTACCACTCCTCTGCCTCCCCATTGTCATCAGAAACTTTCCATATTATTACTAGAATACTCCTAAATTCATTATTTCCCCCGCACAACAAGGAAAACATCAGCCTTAACAATATTTTAAGATTTATCCACAGTTGAAATTGAAGCAACAGCAAATTTATGAGATGTGCAATGTCTGTTTTGCCTTTAAGGAAAGGATTCTTCTTTTTTGAAAGGGAGAGAGAGAGAAAGAAAGAAGCCTTTTATTCCTTTAAGCCAGGCATAAGTTATTCCAGGTTTAT